TCGAGATAAGTCAATGTAGAATTTTTTTTTTGTGGGCATCGTTGATTTAAGTTGACCCCCCCCCCCCTGTTTTTATTGATCGAACTCTCACCTATTTTGTTCTATGTATTTTCAATATAATTTATTTGACGATACAAATTATGACATCAAAAAGTACTACTTTCACAATTCTTTTATTGACAATCATAAATTAATATAATTCAAAAAGGACTTATATAGAGACAATATCAACAATGGGATTAGTGAGTATCTATGGGTTGTTGGAAGAAAAAATAATGGTCAGCCCTTGTTTGGAAGTCATGACAATGGTTCATTGTATTCTCAAAGTTTTCCTGCTGTGGACCTGCCCAATTATAATGCTCTATTGTTCCATTAAATATCATTTTTTGGGGTCAAAATTAATGATTTTATCCAATTTTGTTATGTCCCTTCATCCTACTTTAAGATTTAATTTTTAAGAAGATTACGTGATGTTAAAATTTAAATAGTTGAGTGTCAAATATTCACCTTGCAACTTGTGCAAAAAAATGAAAGCTAATGATGCAATTTTGCTAAATTTTTTCGTTGAATGTCATAATTTTTTATTAACTCGAGATTGAATGAATTCAATCTAAGGTAAACTTTATGAATAATGCTATATAGTCCGACTAAGATAACAATTTCAATTTAGGCGACACTAAATGATATGTTAAAAGAAATGTGGAATTAAATGACCCATTGAGTTTCGCTTATCATTTAATGTCACATTAACCTATTTAAATTGAAGTTGTAACCCCAATGATGTTAAATAGTATTACTCAAAATTTTATATGAAAAGTGCCTAGGTTGAATTTTCCAATTAATTGATAGTGGATTTGTCAATCAGATTGTGATTTTGGGACGAGCATTAGTGCATGTTTGACTCGACTTATGACTTTGGCGGAGACTTCTCTTTTATTGGCTATTAGATTCATGCTTCCTCCCCTCAGTCAATAAAGGACGAAGCTTGACGTACATGTAGGGGTTCTGAGGGTGGGTGTGGGTCCTGCATGGGAACCCACCTGCTGAGAAAGTTGGTGTGAACCCCTACCTAGTAAAACAGCAAAACTGGTCAATAAATGGCCCATCCATCATGCTCGTTCCTTGAAGCTCGCCCGAAACTACATGATATGACTTCAAATTTAATATTTAGGTTGCTTTTATTTGACCTAAATAGACATTGTGGCTTCAAATTCAATCATAAATTATTTAGTATCTATGATGTTGTAACATCAATGTAGATAGTATTGAGGGATAGACTACCATGCTTGATAGTGCCATTCTTAAATTATGAGTTAAGGTATATAGTTGGAGTTGGATTGCATTTATTTTATCCATTAAGAGAGTATGTGAACACGTCATGCTCAGTTTTTGAATGATAAAAAAAGTCCAAATAACACAACTAATTTGTCATTTAATGAAACAAGATGCGGACGAATTAACATTAAATTACAAATCAATCGAAACTACACTTATTAATATTAGGAAAAAGGGTCAACCATAAACTAATAATACAAAAAGGACTTGTGTAGAGACAATATCAACAATGGGATTAATGAGTATATGTGGTTCTTGGAAGATCTAATGTCCATCCCTTGTTTGGAGGACATGCTTTGGCACACTGAATGTCTCTAAGATGCCACGAGTTGAACGCTAAGCAATGAGATGAAAAAATGCTAGAGTTGGATAGAAATAATCGAGGTCAATTATGCACAAAAGCTTAACACAACACAAGAATGCATAGCTTGGGAAATACACTTGAGATCTAGCTAGAAAAAAGCATAGATAAGATATGAGTTTGTGCAAAAATTTTAAAATATAATAGCCTACGTTACTTATGAGTTATGAACGTAAATCATACCTAACATAAGGGACCTAGTCCTCCTATAAATATTAACGATTTATCTGCTCGAGATAAGTCAACGTAGAATTTTTTTCGTGGACATCATTGATTTAAGTTGACCCCCTCTGTTTTATTGATCAAACTCTCACCTATTTTGTTCTATGTATTTTCAGTATAATTTACTCGACGATACAAATTATGACGTCAAAAAGTACTGCTTTCACAATTCTTTTATTGATAATCATAAATTAATAATTCCAAAAGGACTTACATAGAGACGATATCAACAATGGGATTAGTGAGTATCTACGAGTTGTTGGAAGAAAAAATAATGGTCAGCCCTTGTTTGGAGGCCATGACAATGGTTCACCGAATTCTCAAAGTTTTCCTACTGTGGACCTGCCCAATTATAATGCTCTATTGTTCCATTAAATATCATTTTATTTTATTTTTTTTGTCAAAATTAATGATTTTATCCAATTTTGTTATGTCTCTTCTTTCTACTTTAAGATTTTATTTTTAAGAAGATTACGTGATGTTAAAATTAAAATAGTTGAGTGTCAAATGTTCAACTTGCAACTTGTGCAGAAAAATGAAAGCTAATGATGCAATTTGCTAAAATTTTTCGTTGAATATCATAGTTTTTTATTAATTCAAGATTCAATGAATTAAATCTAAGGTGAAGTTTATGAATAATGCTATATAGTCCCACTGAGATTACAACTTCAGTTTAGGTGACGCTAAACGATAGGTTAAATGAAAGGTGAAATTAAATAACTTATTTAGTTTCACTTATCATTTAATGTCACATTAGCCTACTTAGACTGAAGTTGTAACACCAGTGATATTAAATAGTATTACTCAAAATTTTATATGAAAATAGTTAAGAGGATGTTTGGTGGAGATTAAAATTAAATTTTTTAGCATATTGTAAAAGAAGTATTTGAAATATATGATTAAAAAGTTGTTGGACTCATAAAAAAAAGTGGTTAATATTGATTGTTTGACTTTGATTTAAATTAAAATCAGATTTTAATTCATACCAAACATGCTGTAATTTCCTAGTTTGAATTTTCCAATTAATTGATAGTGGATTTGTCAATGAGATTGTGATTTTAAGCATTAGTGCATGTTTGACTCGACTTATGACATTGGAGGAGACTTCTCTTTTATTGGCCATTAGATTCATGCTTCCTCCCCTCAGTCAATAATTGGCCCATCCATCATGCCCGTTCCTGGAAGCTCGCCCGAAACTACATGATATGACTTCAAATTTACTGTTTAGGTTGATTTTATTTGACCTAAATAGACATTATGGCTTCAAATTCAATCGTAACGTTATTCAGTCCCCTTTGGTAGTAATTTTTTACCATAAAATTTTTTATCTAGATTTCACTATTTCAGACGTCATTTTTCATTTTTTTACGTACAAGCGGATCTCGCTTTTCTCTCTCATAGTCAAAAAATCAATTCTCATAATCACTATCGAATATGCCCTTAGTAGATGTAATGTTGTAACATCAACTTAGACAGTATTAAGTGATAGACTACCATGTTTGACAATCATTATTTAAAAATTCTTTTTTTCACATATTTATTTTTAACTACATATTCACACAATCAAATATTTTCGCACATAAACTCAGAATTTTTTTCTACTTTTAATCACATTTAAAAAAAAAAAAAACTATTGTTTAAAACATTATTTTTCCAAATAACGACAATCCCAATAAGTTATAAATCAAGCACACTGAACTGATTCATAGCAGAAATGCCTAAGTGGTGGTAGTAGTGAATTGAAATCTCCTCAGTTTTTACCAATAATAATATGACAAATAATCATAAACTCTAAATTTAAGTTAATTTAACAGCTGTAATCGTTTGTCAAATTCATTGATAGGAGGAAAGGAGAAAAACATGATTTTTATCAAATAATGAAAACGTGTAGAATTTTCCCGTCCCACTATATTTGTTTATAATAAAGCGTCCAAAGAGCCTCTTCTCCTTCATTAGATCTTTAGCGTACAAATTTGGTATTCTCTAATGACTTGCAAATTCCATTGTAACTCCGAGATAAGTGGAGTGCATCTATTAGAAAATGATTTTGAAATACATTACAATTTAGAAAATTCATTTCCCAACTAGTTATAACTTAACTTTCCGTAAAGGTGCCAATTTGGCTCATTGACACTAGTGGCTCGGCTCGAAAAAAGTTTGAGCCGAGCCCCATTTTGGGGGATTGGCCCCAGCCCGAGCTAGCTCGAACAAGCTCGTGTTAAAAAAAAAATGAAATTGCAGGTAGCATGTAGTTGCCTGTGTTTTAAAAGAAAGAAAACAAAGATAAAAACAAAAACATGAGCCACCTCAGCTCAGCTCGATAAAGTCCGACTTGAAAATTCAGGTCAAGCTTAGTTTATTGGGGGCCCGTAAAAGCCTGCACCACTTTACTCAAGCCAAACCCAACCCTCGATTTTCTATTCGCGAGCCTACTCCACCCAATTCATTGACATCCCTAACTTTTTGCCTAGAAAAGCACAGTTGCAAATCTTCACACCTTCACTAGGATAATAATTCTCTTTGAATTATAGTGCCTAATGATTTCGAGTAAAGCAGTTACCAGAGATGGCAAAAATTGTCTTTGATTAGGGGCCACAGGCTAACCACCCCTACTCAGCTACACAACAAAAATAGCATTTGCTAGCGTTCGATACTTGATTTTAAATTTTAGATTCAAATCAATGTTAACTCCTCGTAACAAATCTGATTAATCTTTTCCAATTTTGGACCCGACCCGACCCGACTAAAAAGCTAAACCCAAGAGAAGAAGCAAAAATCCCTTTTGAAAGATATTGAAATCTGTTATTTTCTTCTTCATCTTCCAGAATTCCAAAAAGAGAGCAAAAGAAAGATTTGTACAGAGGTTCATCATTACATTGGAATCTTAAAAGTGGAAAAATGATCATATCTTTCAAGAAATCACAATAGCCAATTGAAAAAAAACAAGTTATAGATTACAAATTCACTTTCCCTAAATTTCTACTCGAAATCATATTTACTTTACCAGAGGCATATTTGACCAGACTAACCAGTACAGTGCAGCAAACAAAATTATAATTTTTTTTATGTTCTAAAATGTCCACTACAGCCTAACATTTATCATGGAGTAACCTAGTATTACAAGACAGTGTATATGAATTAAGGACTTCAAATGCAGCATTTCTTCAGTTCTTCCCATGAATTTCTTCCTGGATGAACTGTTTTCTGGGAAAAAGGATCACTTGCAAACCGTGATAACTGGGAACATTCTGTAAATCAAGAGTCATAAAATCTAATGTTAGTCGATTGTGAAGGTTAAGTTCTGTTTAAAAAAAAAAAAAAAGAAAGAAAATATTATTCACAAGCTGATTTTAAGGCTGGGTTATAAAAATTTGTGACAATCAACATACCTCTTAACGAAGAGCTGTAGGATTTCTTGCAATGAAGGATGGCGCCTTGGATTCCTTCATCTTGCTGTTGCAATAGCGAGTCATCTCTCCGGCTAATCGACGACGGTGACAAACCGACGGCAGCGGAGGCCGATCGGCTTTTTGCTAAATGCTTAGTTACAATCTTAAAACTACCCACTCTGCTGCTGTCAGACAATTTCCTCGGCGAGAGATTTACTGGCTCCCTCACTGGTGAACATAACGGTGCTACGGAATTAGAGAACTTCGATTTCTCGTTTTGTCGTTTTGATACCTTAACATACAGAGGCTTTATCAGCTTCAAATACTTGGGAACAGATTGCTTTATTTTAGCTTCCTCGGAGGACTCTTTAGTCAATTTGCTTCTCAAACTGTTGTCTCTGCTGAGAAATGGGGCGACCGGAACTTCATCAGATTTGCATTTCACGGTGAAGCGATTGCTCTGTTCATTTTTGGGTGATCTCGAGAACCGAGTTGATGGACTCGCAGATAACTCGTCGCCGGATTCACTTTTCTCCGACTCTCTAAACCCCAGCGTGAAGACTTTAAAGGTCGGCCCCGGTTTCTGTAACGATGTCGGAGGCGATAACAGCTTTGAACCAGAATCCATTGATAAATTTTTCTCGGTCATGAAAACATCTCTCGGGGATTCAACGAAATGAAAATCCTTTCTTACTTCTTCATTATTGGTGCAACCAGACGACGTGAAAACCAAATCGAAGAACGATTCTTCGTCATCCGTTTCATCGTTGGAGTTATTTCTGAAGGAATCTCCGGTGACATTTCGCCAGAACTTGAAAATGCTTAAAGATTCCATTCAGAGTTTATCCAATGAAAGATGGAATGTGATAGTGACTAACAGTAAAAATGGTAGTGTTGGGGTCTGAGAAAAAATACTTAGAAATGGTGCTTTGCTTTGAGAGAGCAGAGGTTGAAGAAGGCCTTTTATGCAGGTTGGCTTGTGTGGGTTAGTAAGGCATTGTTTGTCTCGCGGTTATAAATTTAATATATTTTTAATAACTAGTAGTAAATATGTGCGTTGCTCGTTTTATGTATGGAACGGATAATATAAGTAATATTTTTAAAGGAAGTTAATTGATAATGTTAAGAAAAATTAAAATTGCTAGAGAAAAGTCTTATGAAATTACATACATATGATATGAAAATGTTAAATAATCTAAAATGTAATATTTGTGTACCTATTTGTTTATGCTAGACATTTGGAAGGGCACTATTTTGAACCATTACTGTAACATATACCAGCTTTATAGTGCAGTCGGGCACGAATAAAAGTTGAATTAAAATATGTACATTTGACTAAGTTTAAAATGTTTACTTATAAGTAAACTAAACGTACATAAATAATTTTCAAAATAAAAATTACTTATTTTGTCAGTAACATTAATATTTCTACCTGAAAGAGTAAAAATAAAAAAGTATCTTATCTAAAAACATTTAGAAAATAAAATTACATATTAGTCCATAGCATTTATTTTAAATTAAACACCAAATTTGCATTCAAAAAAAAATATAGAAGTGAAAAATCTTAAAACAAAAGTTTTTATTTTTCTTTTGAATGGGATTAATACAAATGGAGGAATAAAAATTCACCTTTTAAATGTATCGAGATAAAAATCTGTTCCTTTTCTTTACATATTTATGTCTGATAAGTAACGAACGTGCTATATTAATTATTTTCAGAACATGTAATATTAGTTTTTGTTAGTACTTAAAAATTTGGTTTTAGTGAAAAATGTGTAATTAAGATAAGAAACTTGTATCTAGTGGGATGGATACAAATATGGGAAAGGTAATTATTAGGAGCAATTAGTAAGGTTTTTAAGATTAATGGATAATTTCTCTCATCTTCGACTCTTTCTCTTCTAATTGTTGATCAATAAATTGTCCTTTGTATTGAAATAGTTATATTATCCATTCTATTAATTACACGTGCAATTATATAAATAGAAGAACGTTAATTTTAAGTGAAGCTCACACATACATATTAAATTTAACTTTATTTACTCTCCTTTTCATAGGGTTCATTTTTCATATTAGAGTACTCATAATTTTTTATTTATTAAATTAAGCCCTTGTTTGAGCCACATTATTTTTATTAGAATGTATTTTTGAATAGTGTATTGATGAATATGTGTGGTTAAAAAATAAGAAAAAATTTTGAGTTTGCGTGTAATATTATTTTATTGAGAATGTGTGGTTGAAATGATGTTAAATCATTGATTAAGATTTTTTATTTTTATTTGTTGTTTTTAAGAATGTGGGCCAGAGTGTAAGTTTAATCACTTAAAATTTAAGCTCGTGAACATTAAAACTATAAAAATTACTAATTTATATTATAATTAATCTTCCATTATTTTAACGCAACGTTATATACATATATATATATATTCAATCTACACTTTTAATAGATTATAGATTTAAGTTTTTTCATGATTTAGGATGCGTTTGAGTCACATGTATTTTGGAATAGTAAATTGATTGAGAATGTGTGGTTAAAAAAGAATGAAATTTTTTTAATTTATATGTAATATATTATTTTAATGAAAAATATGTGATTGAAAAGAATATAGAAAAAAATTGTATTTGAGAAAAAATGGGAATTAAACATCCCCTTAGTCTATGTTTGGCCCTCATTTTTTCATTTTCAAAAACTAATTTTTTTTTGACGGTGACAAACCGACGGCAGCGGAGGCCGATCGGCTTTTTGCTAAATGCTTAGTTACAATCTTAAAACTACCCACTCTGCTGCTGTCAGACAATTTCCTCGGCGAGAGATTTACTGGCTCCCTCACTGGTGAACATAACGGTGCTACGGAATTAGAGAACTTCGATTTCTCGTTTTGTCGTTTTGATACCTTAACATACAGAGGCTTTATCAGCTTCAAATACTTGGGAACAGATTGCTTTATATTAGCTTCCTCGGAGGACTCTTTAGTCAATTTGCTTCTCAAACTGTTGTCTCTGCTGAGAAATGGGGCGACCGGAACTTCATCAGATTTGCATTTCACGGTGAAGCGATTGCTCTGTTCATTTTTGGGTGATCTCGAGAACCGAGTTGATGGACTCGCAGATAACTCGTCGCCGAATTCACTTTTCTCCAACTCTCTAAACCCCAGCGTGAAGACTTTAAAGGTCGGCCCCGGTTTCTGTAACGATGTCGGAGGCGATAACAGCTTTGAACCAGAATCCATTGATAAATTTTTCTCGGTCATGAAAACATCTCTCGGGGATTCAACGAAATGAAACTCCTTTCTTACTTCTTCGTTATTGGTGCAACCAGACGACGTGAAAACCAAATCGAAGAACGATTCTTCGTCATCAGTTTCATCGTTGGAGTTATTTCTGAAGGAATCTCCGGTGACATTTCGCCAGAACTTGAAAATGCTTAAAGATTCCATTCAGAGTTTATCCAATGAAAGATGGAATGTGATAGTGACTAACAGTAAAAATGGTAGTGTTGGGGTCTGAGAAAAAATACTTAGAAATGGTGCTTTGCTTTGAGAGAGCAGAGGTTGAAGAAGACCTTTTATGCAGGTTGGTTTGTGGTGGGTTAGTAAGGCATTGTTTGTCTTGCGGTTATAAATTTAATATATTTTTAATAACTATTAGTAAATATGTGCGTTGCTCGTCTTATGTACGAAACGGATAATACAAGTAATATTTTTAAAGGAATGTAATTGATAATGTTAAGAAAAATTAAAATTGCTAGGGAAAAGTCTTATGAAATTACATACATAATATGAAAATGTTAAATAATCTAAAATGTAATATTTTTGTGGGAAAATTCTACTTGTACATAATTATTACACATAATAGTGTCCATAATGTGATGTGGCAATCATCGATTGTTGATGTGCAAGTGTGAAATTTGAATTAAAGGTTGAATCTAGTGCCACGTATAATTATGTACACCATTATGTAGACTATTATGTACATGTAAAACTTCCCTATTTTTGTGTACTTATTTGGAGTTATGCTACACTTACAAAAGTGGGTTACAAAGTTGGTTGACAAAATAAAATTAACACCAATTATTTCAATAACAGATTTTTAAATCATTTCAAATTAATGGCCTGGATTTTGCCAACACACTTTGTAAACCAACTTTTATAACTCAATTTTGTACAAAAAGCTTTATTGACCTTTTTTTTTTCCGATATTCAGATATCCCAACATACATCAGACTAAATTTTGGACCCCCAAGACCCTTGCTCCTAGAACTTTATTGACCTATTTGTTTATGCTAGACATTTGATAGGGCACTATTTTCAACCATTACAATAACGTATACCAGCTTTATAGTGCAGATGGTCACAAAAAAAAAAAAAAAAAAAAAAAAAAGTTGAATTAAAGATGTACATTTGAATAAATTTAAAACGTTTACTTATAAATAAACTAAAGGTACATAAATTATTTTCAAAATAAAAATTACTTATTTTGTCAGTAACATTAATATTTCTGCCTGAAAGAGAAAAAATAAAAAGTATCTTATCTAAAAACATTTAGATAAAAAATTACATATTAGTCCATAGCATTTATTTTAAATTAAACACCAAATTTGCATTCAAAAAAAATATAGAAGTGAAAAATCTTAAAACAAAAGTTTTTATTTTTCTTTTGAATGGGATTAATACAAATGGAGGAATAAAAATTCACTTTTTAAATGTATCGAGATAAAAATCTATTCCTTTTCTTTACATATTTATGTTTGATAAGTAACGAACGTGCTATATTAATTATTTTCAAAACAGGTAACATTAGTTTTTGTTAGTACTTAAAAATTTGGTTTTAGTGAAAAATGTGTAATTAAGATGAGAAACTTGTATCTAGTGGGATGGATACAAATATAGGAAAGGTAATATTAGGAGCAATTAGTAAGGTTTTTAAGATTAATGGATAATTTCTCTCATCTTCGACTCTTTCTTTTCTAATTGTTGATCAAATTTGAGCATTTTTTCCCTTTCAATAAATTGTCCTTTGTATTGAAATAGTTATATTACCCATTCTATTAATTACACGTGCAATTATATAAATAGATGAACGTTGATTTTAAGTGAAGCTCACACACACATATTAAATTTAACTTTATTTACTCTCCTTTTCATAGGGTTCATTTTTCATATTAGAGTACTCATAATTTTTTATTTATTAAATTAAGCTCTTGTTTGAGCCACATTATTTTTATTAGAATGCATTTTTGAATAGTGTATTGATGAATATGTGTGGTTAAAAAATAAGAAAAAAATTTGAGTTTGCGTGTAATATTATTTTATTGAGAATGTGTGGTTGAAATGATGTTAAATCATTGATTAAAATTTTTTATTTTTATTTGTTGTTTTTAAGAATGTGGGCCAGAGTGTAAGTTTAATCACTTAAAATTTAAGCTTGTGAACATTAAAACTATAAAAATTACTAACTTATATTATAATTAATCTACCATTATTTTAATTTTTAATTTAATATATTATATTATATAATCATATGTGAGCTTAGATTTTAAGTAGTAAACTTAATTTAAATAATGTAATTTAAGTAATTAAACTTAATTTGATTAATGTAAAATTTTATATACTTTAATATAAAACAATAATTATTACACTTAAGTGGATATTAAATTAAGTTAAATTATATTAAATTGTACTATATTAATTATATAAGGGTAGAATTGACATATAGCTAAAAATATAAGAGTTTTTTTTTTTTTAAGAGCGTTAATTCAATTTATTCAACATGAAATTGAAAAATGGGTATTGTTTAAGGAACTCAAATGATGGCCCTAAATTTTCATTTTGATATTAAAAAAATGAAAAAATTGCAGCAGCGGTCCCTAACATTTTCATTTTTTGCAGACTTTACTCTTACCTTCATTTTGTGCCAATGGAAGTTCCTATCTTTTCATAAATATGCACTTGAGGTCCATTTGGACGGAAATCATTATCGTCAGTTGACCGAAAAAATTTCTTGATTTATCTGCTATCGTAACGATTTTAAAAAGAGTAAAATGACACCAAGAATAATGCTCCATGAACAGGGGCTTTTGACCGGGAAGGGATGGCAGCACTTTGATTGGATTTTTTTTGATCTGTCATAGCTTGATCCATGATACCAAATACTGTGACTATTCAGAGTGTACAGACTGAGCGGTGCAGTTCACCCCCAGTCTGGAGAAAGAGAGACGTTAGACTTTTCAATTTTGAAAAAGAGGTCCAAATCTTCTGGCTGGCTCATGCGATGCTGCCCTCACCTTTCACGTCACCCACTTCGTAAACAAATAATATTCGACAGTGTATTCGATTTGACAGAATTTTTGAATTGTCTGTCACCTGCAAAATTTGATGAAAGGTAATTAAGAATCAATGAATAAAATGAAGGGGATTTGCAAAATAGCCTTGTTTGAGACTTGCTCTTCTGAAAAAAAAAATATATATTTTTCAACAGTATTTTAATATCATTTTAATCACATATTTTTTAATAAAATAATATTACATATAAATGTAAATTTCTTAAATTTTTTAACAACATATTTTTCATCAACATATTGTTCAAAAATTCATCATCTCCCCCAAAATGGAGCTCAAACTAAGTCCAAAGGTGCTATTATCTAGGGCCCCGTTTGACTCCCATTTTTCTTCTCATTCTTTTTTCTCTCTTATTTTCAAACACGTAATTTTTCATAAAATAACATTACACGCAAATCAAAAACTTTTTATTCTTTTTTAACCATACACTTTTAAAAAAACACTATTCCAACAATTAAAATTTGAAAAGAATGAAGGCCAAACGGGAGCTTAATCTATCTTGATGTCTATCGGTGTTTCAATTCTCCATGAATGGTGTATCGTGCTTTGCTCTTAACCCTCTTTTTAGTATAGATTAAAAATTATGAAACATGTAATTAAAAAGTTATGAATCCTATAAAATAATTTACTAAAAATTAATTATTGACTTTAATTTGAATTTTCTAATGAATTTTGCTAAATGACCCGTGTCGTTCACCACATCGATGACCACACCCTCACATGGCGCACGGGTCCCACCTGAATAAAAAAATACCGACCCTATGTGTATGTGTGTGTGCGGTCATCTGCGCGGGTCATGTAGCGTGGTCCTTTTCTAATAGATGACCGCGCGAGTTGTGTAGCGTGGTCCTTTTCTAATAGATTTTAGTTTATATCAAATAGGAGCTTAATTAGATTTAAAAAAAGGATTAATAGAAGAAAATTCCCCTACAAACGAGACCGCGCAGGTCGTGTAGCGTGGTCCTTGTCTAATAGATTTTAGTCTATGTCAAATAGGAGCTTAATTAGATTTAAAAAAAAAAGGATTAATAGAAGAAAATTCCCCTACAAACTCGTTTGTGTGCGATATTCCCCTACCGTCAAGATCTGTTAGTTTGATTGTAAAAAACAAGTAAAAAAAGGTCAAAATTGAAAAGTAATAACTGCAATTTTAGCAATCAAACTTTTTAATTTTTTTACAAATTATATCCCAATTTTTTTATATAAGCCAACCACAATCCCTAATTTTTAAAACATTATTTTCCACTCCATCAGACAACACTCCTCTTCATCTTCTTCCTCATTCCACTTGACACCCACTTGTACGTACCTTGAGCGTTTCTTGCTTTTTGTTTGAATTTTGCTTCCTACTTAGTGAAATTTGAACTCAGCTCTCGGCTTTTGTTGGTGTTCAAATTCAGTTTTAGATTTCGTGTTACGCCCCTATCTGAACCACTTCGAAATGTCTACCATCGTGTTATACGAGGTGTTCAACACCCGTCCGAAGTGGTTCCGAAGTAACGCCACCACCAATGTCATCGATCTACTAACGCACTGCGAGGCACAGACAATCCACTAAACCGACCGAAGCGTCCTCACCCCTGAAGCCGAGGCGCAGTACATTCCGAGGTTCTCTGTCAGAGGATCCGCCGTCAATTTCAGAAAGAGATCTATGTCGAGATCCTTTCTGCCCCAAGGTTTAATTGATTTGACATCTCCATGAGCCTAGTTGATGTGACGTATCAACTTTATGTCAACTCAGTTTGGGAGAAGTAATTACCCGCCCGCTCTATAGACACGGCTGATTGACACCTATGATCAGACGCCTCACACCTTCAGATGCATACACGTGTCCCACATCCAACGGTTCTCCTCACCTATAAATACCCAAGGTTTAGCAAGAGGTAAAAGGGATGAAACTCTTACAACTTAGCTCTCCATAACAAGTAAATATATATTCTCCTCCCTACATTTTTGCACAACATTGATACTGTTCTGATCACCTGGGGCTAACTTGACCGTCGGAGTGTATGCGGTCGTCACCATCCCCGATGGTCCTGACCGTGTGCATCTGACCGTGCGTTGATTGTGCGCAAGGAGGAATACGTGGAGTAGCTATCCATTGGCCACGTGAAGGGTCCAATTTGCGAGGCCAACAGATTGCGCCGTCTGTGGGAAACTTCCCGTCCAAAGTTCTGCATTCTCCATCGGAGAAACCACCGAAAAATTGGTGACTTAACCTAAAAAGGGTACGTTCTTGAAAAAGAGCAAAGTCGAGTTATAA